CTAGGTCCTGTTACTACTACTCATGGAGCAGAGATTGAATTGGTGTCCCAGAGCAAATATCTTGGAATTTTAATTGATGAGACACTTTCTTTTAGTACTTACATTCAGCAATTAGTGAAAAAATTCAAAGTGATTTTAGGCTTCTATTTCAAAATTAAGAACTGTCTTTCTTTTGGTGCTAAAAAGAAGCTGGTTGAGGCAACATTCATGTCGACATTAGACTACGGTGATGTAAACTATATGCATGTTTCATCTCAAAGTCTGAATGCATTGGATACTGTTTACCATGGTGCACTAAGATTTATAACTCATTTTAAATCCCTTACTCATCATTGTGTGCTGTATACTAGGGTAGGTTGGTCTGCTTTGTTCGTAGGCTCAAACATTTTCAAATTCTTGTTTACAAATATATGCTGGGTTTACTCCCATCATATCTCCAGAATTGCATTTGTAAAAAGCCTGTTCTTAACTATGGTCTTCGGTCTCAGGATATTTATTTACTATCTGTCCCTAAAGTGCAGACTGAGATGGGAAAAAAAAGGCTTTTAAGTATGCAGCACTACACACTTCACTACATGCTTTTAAAAAGACTATAAAATATTTAGAAGTTGAAACACAGGTTTGCAGATGTTTTGAATAGTTTGTCAGTGAGATTCATATTAACTGTAAATAGTTTTTTGTTTGTTGTCTGTTGGACTCATGTGACCCGTGTACTGCCTAATCTTGGCCAGGACGCTCTTGTAAAAGAGATTGTTAATCTCATTGCGTCTTGCCTGGTAAAATAAAGGTTATAATAATAATAATAATAATATATTTATATATATATATATATCTTATGTCAGGTATAAACATATTTTTGGAGCTTTTCAAACAACTTTAAACAGTGACTGGACACAGCACTGACCTCTGACCTGTAAATCACATCACCTATCCAGTTATGATAGATAATGGGCCATTTACTAAATGTCGACATTTGAGAGAAAGTCATGTCTGTAAAAGATTCACCACAGTGTTTTCCCACCCACAGAACACAGCGAATGATACTCACACAGATCTGACAGCCGCTCCACCACTGAATTCAGGAGGATGATGCATGGATCTGTTACTCTTCATGGACACACAGCTGAACACTGGAGATGCTGCTCTCTGAGGGTCAACAGGAGTCAGCTTCAGTCTCTTTCTGTAACAACATACAAGTGCTCATAGTAAAACACTACTGCAGCTGAAGAAAGATACACGGTTTTAGAACAATCAAGGGTCATGTAAAGACACTTGAAATAATGTGTTACTTTGTTTATGATTTTGAATTTATTATTTTTTATGTTGTGTTGTATTTTATATACGGGTTGATTTGTTGAATAAATTGAGTTGTTTGGGGACTTTAATTACGACGTCAAAATTGCGGAGCTTACTGGATGTATAAATTGCATGTAGTAATGAATGAAAACAAAATATGGAACGCTAGGTGAAACACGGTAAAAGGGGCACAGGTATACGGTTGCTTCACGGATTCCTCCTTCAAGAGTTATAGCTCCTGGTTTGAGGGAAAAATAAGGTAATTTGGTTTATTTGTTTAAGATTAATGTTTAATTGTTGATGTTGGCTCAGTGTTATTTTTCGGGATTTATTTGTGTTTGTTGTTTGTTTTTTTTTCTCTCTAGTTCTTACGGTGATTCATAATGAAATAATGCGAACGAATTCTATGGAGTACGACCAATAAATGAATCGTGAACCATCAGTGAAAGACTTAGTCATCTTTTAACCAGGATGCTACAGGTCAAGGGCTAAATAAACACTGATCACCATGATGATGAGTACAAATGATAGAAAAAGATGTTTCCAACTTCATGATACTCACCCTGACTCAGATCTCACAGCAGCTCCACCACTGAATTCGGGAGGATGATGCATGGATCTGTTGCTCTTCATGGACACACAACTAAACACTGGAGATGCTGCTCTCTGAGGTTCAACAGGTAACTCTTCTCCCTCAAACACACTCATTTTACAAGCAGAACTTTCCCCAGATCTGTGTGTGGAAACATTTTTTTTTTTACTATTTCATCCAAAGCAACATTGAACACATCCTTAAAAAGTCAAATAATCAAGAGCAGTGCAAGTAACAAAGCCTGTTTTTAGGGAGAGATGAATTAACACACTGAAATACTAAACCCCGGTGGATTTAACTAGAAAACACAGTTTGAATGCAGCAGATCATCTGTATTTTATCCCAAATTACAGACATTTGTAATTTAACAATAATATGATAAAAATGTAATGATAATAAACAAAACAAACCAAGATCTAAAACTGACATACCGCAAGTCAGGAGATGCACAAATCAGTACTTTTGTCATTATTACGAATTATGACAAACAAGCACGTTTTAATATATTCATAACCGTGTTCGTGTTTTACCATCATGCTTAAAAAAAAATAAAAACGCTAAAATAAAAACCGCAAAATTTCGCTATCTATAATCCTTAATAAAAAACTCCTATATAGCAGTCCCACAACATTCGGACACTCAATGACACTCGAATCCCCTATCAGAAAAGTCTAGTGACCGAGAATTATCTGTTTACAGTGTCTGCTATAATGTTAATGTTGTTTTTGGTGTGTTTACATAATGAATATGGCCGCTATGTAAGAGCACATGTCACTCCGCTGCTCATCCGTTTGCACTGGCTGCCAGTTGCTGCTCGCATCAAATTCAAAGCTCTGATGTTTGCCTACAAAGCGACTTCTGGCTCTGCTCCTTCTTATCTGCTCTCACTTCTGCAGATCTATGTGCCCTCCAGAAACTTGCGGTCTGTGAATGAACGTCGCCTCGTGGTTCCATCCCAAAGAGGGAAGAAATCACTTTCGCGAACGCTCACGCTCAATCTGCCCAGTTGGTGGAATGAACTCCCTAACTAAATAAGAACGGCAGAGTCACTCGCTGTTTTCAAGAAACGACTAAAAACTCAACTATTTAGTCTCCACTTCACTTCCTAATCTGCAATTGCCTCTCTGGATATACCACTAACTGAACTAAAAAAATAAAAATAAAAAAATAAAAAAATTACTAAAACTTTACCAAAAAAAAAAAAAAAAGACTAAATACTTTCCTTCTTAGACTTTACAGAACTTAAACTTGCCTATAGCACTTTTTCATTGTTGCTCTTATAGTTGTGTAAATTGCTTCCTTGTCCTCATTTGTAAGTCACTTTGGATAAAAGCGTCTGCTAAATGACTAAATGTAAATGTAAATGTAAATGCACAGTACAGTTATGATCTTATTGCCACATTATATTGTTATGATAACATGATATATGCCTTCATTGATTTCCTGAAGATAAATACCAATAAATAACACAAGCGGAATAACTACAGCAGTCACAATCATCTGATCTCATATGAAGTAAGAGATTGTGATGACACATGATGGAGTGTGCAGGTGTTGTAGTCCTGTCCCATTTTTTAGGGGTAAATTTTGAAGCCCTTCCCCTTCATACATGGTTTCAAGGGCAAAGGGGAAGAGGAAGGGGTACAAAAATAGAATTGGGATTGGGCCTTAGTTACTTATTTTATTTTAATATATCCATTTTTCAATCTTCCTTTAGCTGTTAGCCACACCCATAGTCAACAATCCAATAGGATGGAATTAGGGCTGCACGATATTGGAAAAATCTGACTGCAATATTCCGTTTTTCTGCAATATATACACTTTCAGTCTCTTTCCCTATCAATTCCAACCATTAGCCCTTCTGCTAATTTGGAAGATTTTAAACATAAGTGCACACAGCAGAACGGATATAGGCAATGTGTCTGAAAGGTAACAAACTTAACTAATTAAAGACAAAGTATGCCATTCTCCAATACTCATACAGCTCTCCCGACAAAAATGCTTGCTACACACAAACAGCTTGGTTATATCAGTAGCTCTAACAGCATTGCAAGGAAAGGCATGCAAAAAACCCTATGGATCATGATACAAACCCTTTCATCAGCTTGACAAACCACATGCTGTCATAATTAATTAATTAGCAGGGTCTTCTCATAGGATAAGAAACCTTAATCTGTGAATGATAATGAGAAATTGATGCGTCATCAATAGTCAGGCAGATGAGCAATACGTCACCGATTTTGATCCCAGCCCAATAGCTGAAATTAGCTGACAAATGCTCAAGCTTATTCACTTTTTGTGAGAAGTTCACAAAAAACGTATGCAATTGCAAGTGAACAAGACCCAATGTTCATTCATTTTCTTTCGGCTTAGTCCCTTTATTAATCTGGGGTCGCCAGAGCGGAATGAACAATCAACTTATCCAGCACGTTTTGAACAGCGGATGCCTTTCCAGCCGCAACCCATCTCTGGAAAACATTCGCACACTCTCATTCACACTCATACACTATGGACAATTTAGTCTACCCAATTCACCTGTACCACATGTCTTTGGACTGTGGGGGAAACCAGAGAACCTGGAGGAAACCCACACAAATGCAGGGAGAACATGCAAACTCCACACAAAAACGCCAACTGACCGAGCCAAGGCTCGAACCAGCGACCTTCTTGCAGTGAGGCGACAACAATACCTACTGCGCCACTGCGTCGCCCAAGACCCAATATTTTGTGTCAAATCTTTATGTTTTGTTACAGAAAGCTGTGTGAAAAGCAGAATAAGGTACATCCAGGTGGTTGTTTTTATAGAATAAAGTTCTTCAGTGGTTTACAACAGAGCTCTGCTTCACATCAAGTTTATTCTGAAATAACTCACCTTACCTTAAACTTTATCTTAAACTTACCTATATGTACTTTATGCCTTACTTAACAAACATTCTTCTCATATTAAATAAATCTATTTTCAACATCCCCATAACTGAAATTGATTGTTGGAAAACATTCTTAAAATAATTGAGAGTACTGAGTGAAAAGCCATACAAAATCAACCTCACACACTAAAATACTCAGAACGCAGACATTTACAACCATCTACAGATCTAAAGTCATACAGTACTTACTTGCCAACAGACCAGGGAGTATGTGTAGGTCTGGAGGACCAATGAGGAGTCTGTGGTGAAACTGGTGTGATTGAGGATAAATGTGGAGAGATGGAGAATCCTGCTGGATGTGATGAGGTGAATGGTCTGGACACAGACAGAGACCCTGAAGACTGTGGTGGAGCTGGTGGGTTAATTGGCCAAGCTGAAGCCTGCGGCATAAATGACCATTGAGAAGACCACCACTGAGCCACTGGACCAATGAACTGAACTGGAGAAATAGGCCTGAAAGACCTCAGTGGAGCTCCATGATCATGAGGCCAGAGCTGAGGTCTTGTGTCCTTCAACTGTTGTTTATTTCCATTAGGCCAGAGCTGAGGTCTTATATCCAAGAACTGTTGTTCACATCCATTTGGCCAGAGCTGAGGTCTCGTGTCCTTCAACTGTTGTTCATTTCCATTAGGCCAGAGCTGAGGCCTTGTGTCCTTCAACTGTTGTTCAGTTCCATTAGGCCAGAGCTGAGGCCTTGTGTCCTTCAACTGTAGTTCACTTCCATTAGGCCAGAGCTGAGGTCTCGTGTCCTTCAACTGTTGTTCATTTCCATTAGGCCAGAGCTGAGGCCTTGTGTCCTTCAACTGTTGTTCACATCCATTAGGCCAGAGCTGAGGTCTTGTGTCCTTCAACTGTAGTTCACTTCCATTAGGCCAGAGCTGAGGCCTTGTGTCCTTCAACTGTTGTTCATTTCCATTAGGCCAGAGCTGAGGTCTCGTGTCCTTCAACTGTGGTTCATATCCATTAGGCCAGAGCTGAGGTCTCGTGTCCTTCAACTGTTGTTCATTTCCATTAGGCCAGAGCTGAGGTCTTGTGTCCTTCAACTGTTGTTCACATCCATTAGGCCAGAGCTGAGGTCTCGTGTCCTTCAACTGTTGTTCACTTCCATTAGGCCAGAGCTGAGGTCTCGTGTCTTTCAGCTGTAGTTCACTTCCATTAGGCCAGAGCTGAGGTCTCGTGTCCTTCAACTGTTGTTCACATCCATTAGGCCAGAGCTGAGGTCTCGTGTCCTTCAACTGTTGTTCACATCCATTAGGCCAGAGCTGAGGTCTCGTGTCCTTCAACTGTAGTTCACTTCCATTAGGCCAGAGCTGAGGTCTCGTGTCCTTCAACTGTTGTTCACTTCCATTAGGCCAGAGCTGAGGTATTGTGTCCTTCAACTGTTGTTCACATCCATTAGGCCAGAGCTGAGGTCTTGTGTCCTTCAACTGTTGTTCATTTCCAGTAGGCCAGGGCTGAGGTCTTGTGTCCTTCAACTGTTGTTCACATCCATTAGGCCAGAGCTGAGGTCTCGTCTCATTCATCTGCAGTTCACTTTCATGAGGCAAGAGCTGCTGTTCTGTTTGCTTCATCCATAGATCACTTCAGCACAAAACATTACAATAAAAACAAACTTAGAATTCAAACAGAAACTGAAACTACAACCAATTATGAAAAACAATAGTGGACAGTTGGATTAAGCTAATTTCCACAAGGTAAACATGACTGATTAGTCATTACTGGCCTCCACTACTACTCCTCATGCTCCTCTTTTTACTTGTCTTTAATTTCTTCTAAGTTACTGTGAGATATACAAGAACATTGTTTGCATAACCTTATTGTAATTATTATTTTCTTTATAAATGATTTATGTCTGTAAAGTGTTTTCCCACCCACAGCACACATTGAATGATACTCACACAGACGCAGATCTCACAGCAGATCCATCACTGAATTGGGGAGGCTGATGCATGGATCTGTTGCTCTTCATGGACACACAGCTGAACACTGGAGATGCTGCTCTCTGAGGGTCAACAGGAGCCTTTTTCAGTCTCTTTCTGTAACAACATACAAGTGCTCATGATAAAACACTACTGCAGCTGATGAAAGATACACAGTTTAAGAGCAGTCAAGGGTCAAGCGCTAAAGAAACACTGATGACCATGATGATGAGTTCAAATTAATTTTAAAAAGTTTCCAACTACATGATACTCACACAGACTCAGCTCTCACAGTAGATCCATCACTGAATTCAGGAGGATGATGCATGGATCTGTTGCTCTACATGGACACACAGCTGAACACTGGAGATGCTGCTCTCTGAGAGTCAACAGAGCTCATCTTCTCTTCCTCTATTTTCTCAGACCTGTGTGTGGAATTAAACAGTATAGACTGACACACTAAAACTAACAACAACTTTTAATTGTGTTTTGCTAAAACAATATTTAAAGTACAGAAGACTCTCTGCATGTCTAATTTCATACAAGTTACGATGAATTTAAGGTAAAAAATAAATAAATAACGTTTCGCCACTCTTTTTATGACAGTGATTTTAAGTATAGTACAGTTTAAACTCATTTAAGGTTTATAAAGTCTATTTTTATATTCCTAAACATTTTAATGTATATAAGAACTTTTGTCTTTAAGAGCTGTATGTTTGCCTGTCCTGGATTCTTTGATTTTTTTACAACTTAAATAGCAATGCTGCCTACCAAAATCTTGTTTCAACACAGCTGCAGTCTTAAACAATTGAGGGAACATGAACACGAATGTGTAAGACCTTTTTTTCTTCCAGGTATTAAAACGTCAAAGGTCAAGCAACACAAACACACAGAATTCACACAATCTCTAATATCCCACCAAGTGATTTTTAAGATAAAATCATTCATCATGTTCACATTATTAAAAAATAATGTGAGTTACCCTCAATCAAGAGTATATTCAGTGGTAAACTAGCTGAACATTAGAATTTTATAGTGAAACATAAAGGGCTCTATTTTGATGGTCCATGCACAAAATGTAAAGCGCAGGGCGCAAATGCTTTCAGGGCGTGTCAGAATCCAAACTTGCTCATTTAAGGGCGGGAAAATCTGCTTTGTGCCATGGCGCATGGTCTAAAAGGGTTGAGTTTATTTTCTTAATGAGCTATAGGTGTGTTTTGAGAATAAACCAATCTGAGTCTCATCTCCCATTCCCTTTAAGAGCCAGCTGCGTCACGCCATAAGCGCATTCGCTATTTACAGGACGTAAAGTAAGTTCACTTTCACTTTTGCTCTCTTGGATAGGGAAACCTTTATGCACAGACATCAATTAGCCTATAAATAATTAATTTTGATTGTTAAGCGCAAAGATTTATTTCAAAACAGATTCTAAATTCAGTTCTAATTTCCAGCAAACTAATAAATGAACAATAATAATGAAGTGTGCTCAAAAACCTGAGTTATATCCTAAAACACATGCTGTGCCCCATATGGTCTAAAACCTGACAGGTGGGCAAATCTAAGCTTGTTTTTAATAAAACAAATATAAATATGGATATAATAAATAATACTGCTAATAATAATAACATTATACAAAAGCAAATTGTTATAAATGAACTGAAAAAGCCTCCTGAGATGAAGAAGACATAAAAGCAGTGGTTTTTCATATTTATGTAGGCTAGAAAATAATATGTTTTGTAATATTTTAATCCTTTATATTTATATCCTATATCTATTCTTATTATATCCTATATATAGGCCTATCCTTAATATTTTAATTTCTTCATATGTAAAGATATTTGCGTATTGCTCTACATCTTGTGTGTAGGCTATTAAACAGTGTGTAAGCGAGAGTTTGTTTTAGTCTAATGAAAAATCTATTATAGTTAACATCTCTGGTGTTAAATCTTCTGAAAAGGCCTTGAGTCTTCTGTTACAGTTGGTTTTGCTTTCACACTACTGGCAAGTTGTCTTGGACAACTGAGGAAATGTGAACATGAATGTGTAAGACTGTGCCAGGTTTAATAAATGTCAAGTATAAAGCCGCACAAAAACACACAGAATTCACACAATCTCTAATAGATCAAGTGCTATTTGATAGAGGTAAAGTTGGTTTTATACTCAGACATTCAGACATTCTCCTTAATAGTATACTTTCAGAAAAGTATTATTTGCTAAATCTAAATAGTGAAATCATATTAGCAGCCAATTATTATCAAAGTACAGCATTGTTTACAGTCTATAAGATAGTGCTGATGTTGTTTTGAAGGCATACTTGCATGCTAATTATAATTGAATATTCAAATTAGCATGGTAAACAGGAGACTGCTAAATGAACAAATGTGCGAATACAAAACCAACTTTACCTCTATTGATATTTGAGATATTACCATTCATCATGGTCAGGAACTCACATCCCTGGCTGGAACTCACAGCCTAGGCTGGTTGGCTGGTTTTAGCTGGTCGACCAGGCTGGTTTTAGAGGGGTTTTGGCCATTAGCTGGTCAGGCTGGAAAATGACCAGCTAAATCCAGCTAAAACCAGCTTGACCAGCCTGGTTTAAGCTGGACATAGCTGGTTTTGGCTGGGCTCCCAGCCTGGCTAGGCTGGTCAAGCTGGTTTTAGCTGGTCATCTCCCAGCCTAACCAGCTAAGATCAGGCTGGAAATGGCTGGAAACCAGCCTGGAAATGGTCAAAACCTCTCTAAAACCAGCCTGGTTGACCAGCTAAAACCAGCCAACCAGCCTAGGCTGGTTTAAGATGGATTTTTCAGCAGGGATTAAAAAAGGTTATTATATTTATTATTAATGTTATTATATAGTTACTATATTCAAGGATATACTGACTGGAGATTATAATTTTGTAGTGAAAGAAAGTGCTCCTCATTTTGTTGTGCTGTAGGCCTATAGGTTATGCTCAAATGTTTGCATCTGCTCTATAACTCAAATCAATTGTCTTCTGTAACTGAAAGGGTGAAATTAGCTAATTAGCTAAGTTAATTAACTTACATTTTAAATGTGTAAACAAAGCTCTGTAAAAATGTTTAGGATCTTTAGGACACACTGTCTAAAATGCCGGTGTTCTGATGATCTGTGCTAACATTCCTCAGAATGTGTAGCTCATCTGTCATATTTCAGCTTAAAAAACAGGGTTAGCACATCTTGTCAGCTTCAAATGTCTATCAGAATGAACTACCACTCTAATAAACACATTTAATAAATTTAAATTTAATAAAACTAATGAAAAATAAATAAATAAGGTTGTTTACTCTGATATATATTTGAAGCTGCTACGCCTTTTTCTACATTGTTCAATAGAGTAGTAGTTGATTTCGAGGGGTAGCACATATTGTCAGCTTCAAATATCTATCGGATTAGACAAGATGTGCTAACCCTGTTTTTTACAGATCGTCAAAACACCGGAAATAGCAGGCCGAGAAAACAGGTTTCGTCACAGAGAAGGCCACACTTATCAGCATTTTATTTAATATTCTCAACAATGTAAGAATGTTTTAGTGTTGAAGTAAATCAAAGCCAATGTGCTCATTTAACCAAATATGCTGGGTCTCAAAACTTTAACAAAAAAAAAAAAAAAAAAAACATTACATAATATAAAATGATAAATAAATTAATAAATGCATAAATAAATAAATAAATAAATAAATAAATAAATAAATAAATAAATAAATAAATAAAGAAAGAAAATAAATAAACAAACAAAAATAAATAAATAAATAAATAAGAAAAACATAGGTAATTACTTTGTTAAACTATTTTAAGTGTTTATATCCGTGAGGTAAAGCCATCGATGACTGCAGATTAAGCAGTAAAATGAGATGAAGTTCGACATCAGATCTGTTTACTAATAAACATCCACACTGATTTTACATATTTGAAGCGTTGTAGCAAACTTACTGTAGTTTTTGAAAACATTTCCTTTGCTGAATTTTCTGAAAACGGTCCGTTAGCTTTGGTTTCACTTTCACTTGCAGGACTAAACGTGGTGTGACCTCTTCTTCTTCTTCTTGTTGTCTTGTTTGGCGGTTGGCACACATCTTCAAGATACAGTAGCGCAACTTGTTGGTTGGTTAGGAGTTTGTAGCAAGATAGGTGTCCTAATAGTGTTTATAGAAGCGTGGGACACATATATGACTGTCAACATCTCAAAAAATGTGTTTTGGTGTCTCGTGACCATTTAAATCCCTACAGGACCCAACATCATAAAGCTGCACGCTCAAGCGGCTACTAGTCCTGCACATCCAGACCTATCGTTTTCTCACACAGTGCCACCTGCTGTTTGAAAGATCCACTAACCTTCAGAGTTAAGCGTCTTATATATTGTAACTTAAACTATTTCTCTACTATAAAATATTACGCTATGATTAAATACATTATTATATAAAATATTAAACATGCTAGATTTTGCTTTAATGAATTAATTATGTTGCATTTTTATTCATTGTATTTGTAAATTGTTCAGTTTAAATATTTTCAGACAATTTTTTTTAATCATTAAGGATTTATCACCGTTTCGTATTGAGTTGAGGGAATATATTATCTTCATATACAATAATTCATAAACAATAAATTTCCTCACATACAATAAATTATAGTCATTTTCTCACAACAGACTTTATTTTTGTGAACTTTTTCATGAGGTGCTACAAGTCACCGAGGATTAAACAATGCAGGGAAAATTGTAAAAAAATAATAATTGGATTAATGATACTTTTTTTTACGAAGAAAATGACATCAAATAAAATAAATGCTTTACATTGTTGTTGGAAAACTGGAAATATCTGCAGCCTTTGGTGCACTGCATTAGTGATGGCAGAGACCCCTCCTTTTAAGTTGTAATACCAGTCTGCAAAGTATTTTTGAATTAACCTAAGAGAGCTCATCCATATACTCACATGATAAATTCTATACATATACACTCCATACATACACACAGGATACACTGTCAAGGTCTGGGATAGAACCCGGGTCTCTGGTGTGAGAGGTGAGTCACATTACCTCTGAGCTACTGGAAGTTGAAGAACTTAACCAACGGAACACACATCATATACTCTAAACATATACTCACATGATGCACTCCATACATATGCACACATGATACCCTCTATACGTATGCACACATGATGCACTCTATACATATACATACATGATATACTCCATACATATACTCACATGATACATTTTTTACATATACACACACACATGATACACTCTATACATATATACACATACACTTTATAAATATAAAGACATGATGTATTCTTTATATATGCAAACACGATACATTCTATACATGTACACACATGATACACTTCATACATATACACACACAAGATACACTCTATATATATATATATATACACATACACTTCATAAATATGAAGACATGATGTATTCTTTATATATGCAAACACATGATACATTCTATACATGTACACACATGATACACTTTATGCATATACACACACATGATACTCTCCTTGCACATGCACACATGATACTTTACATACACATACACACATGATACACTCCATACATATGCACACATTATACATTACATACATATACACACGATACACTCCATACATATGGAGACATGATACATTCTATACATATACACGATACACTCCATAAATATACTCACATGATACACTATACATATGGACACATGATGTATTCTACACATTACAAATTCTATAAATATACACAAATAATACAATCTACACATACACACAGGATATGATTGTACCTTTAAAGGTGCAACATTGGTCCCTTAGAATACAATTTTGTACCCAAATGTGCTATAAAGATTAAAAAATGTACCTTTTAAACCTAAATCTAAACCTTTGTACCTTTATAGCCCATTTGGGTACAAAATTGTACCCTAAGGACCAATTTGGGACCTTAAAAGGTACAATTATAGATTTTGTTCGCTCTAGGAACAAAATTGTACCCTTACGGTACCTTTTTTCTCTGACAGTGTATTGCTTTGGCTTATTTGTTGTCCAGATCTGACAAACAGGAGCGGGCCGCCCTAGAGCCATCATTGCATTCAGTATGTGGTCCAGATGGAAGTGTCTGGTGTGGGCTGGATCTGGGCCAGAATAAAAGCAAACTGTGGCCCAGAATAGAGTCAGTTCGGGTTTATTTGGTTGAATTCTGGCTGTTATGTATGATTGCTATGGTTTAATTGTGGCCGCCCAATAGCATCATTCCATGCGGTATGTGGGCTGGATGTGAGTGTCTGGTGTGGGCTGGATTTGAGCAACATGAATTTTGCTAGTTGGGTAGTAACTCACAGAGTAATGAGGTTTAAACTGAGCTGCTTTTAACAAGTTCCTGCATGTTAGCTAAAGGACAATGAGTCTGATAAAGAAATGCAGTGTAGAGTTCAGCTTACGTTACACATGATTAAATATGTCTTGTACATTCACAAGCACACTACTGTCAATGTGAAACTGCTGTGATGGCTTCAAGAGTTTAATATCTGTTGCCTGATTATAAGTTAGCCTACAGATGGTATTTTGTAGTGTGCATATAGGTAAATCTAAGACAAGTAATGCATAATATATATATATATATATATATATATATATATATATATATATATATATATATATATATATATATATATATACAAGGGAAACCTGCTCTATTAAGAAATCATCAGAGGGTTAAACACATTAAAGGCTCAACAAGATAACATTTGATTATCACACACACACACACACATATATATATATATATATATATATATATATATATATATATATATATATATATATATATATATATATATATATTAGTGATGATCAAATGTTATCTTGTTGAGTCTTTAATGTGTTTAACCCTCTGATGATTTCTTAATAGAGCAGGTTTCCCTTGTGAAAGATCTCAGAGGAACATCAGGATTTACATAAAGCTAAATATATGAGTGTGATGGAGCAGGTGCATCCTGAGCGAGAGTCAGAAACAGGCCCACATGAAAGAACATGCAAACTACTGCCATGCAAAAGAGTTTTAATGACAGAACCGAAACCACCAAATGAAGAACAGTCACATTAAACATCAAGCTAAAGTCACACAGATCAAATCATATAAGAAGAGAAATAAAGTAAAACACGAGGTTTACATTCATCCACAGACATTATATTTCAGTTACACTGTGAACTGGAGATGCTTTTCTCCGTCATTTTTGAGCCCAGCGACACTCGACAGGAGAATTGCGCATCGCTGGTCCAGTCGGAGGTTTGGATGGTCAGTAAGCTGCTCATTTTGAAGGTTTGGTCTTGCTGTTTCTCAGTAGAGCTGCTCCAAACGCCATCAGTGACGGAGCGTCCATTGACTGTCCAGCTGACGTCAAGCAGAGCCACAGAAATCTCCTCAGCCAGACACACCAGTGTAGCCTTACTGTCCTTCAGAGCCTCAGCGGACGGAGGCAAGAGAGTCACCACAGGAGGAGTCAGAGGAAAGTCTGGAGGACACAAAACACACACACATATTCACACTCATAGTTATGCACAGAATGTTATACAGGGATTATATTGAGAGGATTCAATAAAGATTGTTCTGATAGTTAATGCTGAATCATCAGTGAGTTATTTAGCAGTGAATAAAGTTTGTGTTTATGTTACAGTATGTATTAATCTGTCTTTCTGGAATACTGGATTCTGATTGGTTAACTGATTAAACTCATATCAGCTTCATTCCCCTGCTGAAAAATTCAGCTTAAACCAGCCAAGGCTGGTTGGTTGGTTTTAGCTGGTTGACCAGTCTGGTTTTAGAGGGGTTTTGGCCATTTCCAGGCTGGTTTCCTGCCATTTCCAGCCTGGTCTTAGCTGGTCAGGCTGGAAAATGACCAGCTAAATCCTGCTTGACAAGCCTGGTTCAAGCTGGACCTAGCTGGTTTTGGCTGGACTCAAAGCCTGGCTTTGCTGGTCAAGCTGGTTTTAGCTGGTCATCTCCCAGCCTGACCAGCTAAGACCAGGCTGGAAATGGCTGGAAACCAGCCTGGAAATGGCCAAAACCCCTCTAAAACCAGGCTGGTTGACTAGCTAAAACCAGCCAACCCGCCTAGGCTGGTTTAAGCTGGATTTTTCTGTAGGGTCAGGAACCACAAACAATGTGTGTTATGATTATCAGCAATCTAGCAGCTGCAGATCGCTAACGGACTACAAATCCACCATTTCATGGACTACAAGTTTATGAAATGACGGATTTGTTGTCCATTAGCAATTTGCAGCCGCTAGATCGCTGATAATCATAACAATATTAGCCTGGACCACTAATCTAGTCATAATAAGTGCTAATTTCTGGAATTTGAGATTTATAAATGCACAATTTATGACACATCTATTGACAATCTGGAGTCTGAGGGTTAAAAACATCTAAATATTGAAGAAAAGCATTTAAAATTGATTAAATAAATTCATTAGCAATGCGCATTTCAATTAAAAATAAGTTTAGATATATTTACAGCATAAAATTTACAGATGTCTTCACGAAACCTGATCTTTACTTAATATTCGGATTCATTTGGACTGATATAATGTATTTTTGCCTATTGCCAAATATATACCCGTTCACTATAAGTACTACTGTATATATAGTCTGCAACTAGACAACATGTTTCTTTCTTCAAGCTTTACTTTTCATTTAAAAGCTGGTGAATTATTACCGCTCAGAGCAATGTTTGGTGCCTAACTGTTCAATTTTTCATCAAGTAGCTGTACAATAATCAGGATAATGAACATCAAGCCTGCTGTTTTCAAAGAACAGATAATAAGTCTTATATGTAAGGATGGCTATATCTATCCATAATTATTAAACCCTGAGAACTGTTATGGACTTCCATGCGAGACAAGACCACGTGAATGGTCAGGCACTAAAACAATAAACTTTCTAATCTAACAAGAAGGACAGCTAGGAAACTAATTGTTCAGGTCTCGATCATGCATCCTGAACCTCCCTCTTTGCCCTGGACTTCTCCACCAGAGCAGTTCCACACAGAATGTCTAAGTTTTTAATATGGTGTATCTTGTGGCTCTATATTCATGTCTGGTGTCATTTTAAATGTCTCTGTGTGATTGGTAGAGTGGTCCTAATTTCACTGTAATATTTTACAATCACCCTTATATCAGTTGATTTTGGGCTTTGGGCTTTTACATTATTATGAACTGTAGTCAGATTTAATTTGGAGCTGGACACAAATTGAAATGAATTTTAACAAATCAAAATATTTATTTTCACACGTGCTAAAAAAAAAGCTCACACATTTAACCTTCACTCATACTGTTAGTTCTGCCATAGGAATAATAGATGGACAATTACATATACAATCCTGTTGGGTTTATTCTGCAATACCAACTGGCTTGATGTAAAATATCCTCACTTAATTCTACTTAACATTAGCTAACTCTCAATAAAGCGTAAGGGAATGAAACTTTGCGAATGCTTTAATTTTCCTTTATGTGGTGTTGGGCTCATTTTAGGCGGGGTATGCATCGACCAACATTAGCTGGCACAAACATGTATTGATGAGTCAGTTTAATTCTTAGATTATATGTTCTTATGAATATCATACAAATAAAATTATCCAATTTCTATCATTATCATTAAGAATATAGTTTTAGTTTGATCCATGTTTAATTTTAAATGTCAAATAATTTGTTTTGAAACAATACACAATGTGTAAACGCTTCGTAATATGAAATAAATAAACATTCATATTCACATGCTGTCAATTATGAGTTGCCCATTGCTAATTACTGATGGTGTTAGTTAAGAAATATGAAGTTTCATTAAATAAAGATTCTTTGTGTCCAAACGAACCCAAAATGTGAAAAATACGACAGATTCAAACACATTATGAGAGAAAATAGCACAGATCCATTATATTACTTTGATTTGTCTCCAGTAATGTATTAAATGTTAACAGTAAGCTAAGATTAATACTTTTTAACCACTATTTATCACTGTTAGTTCATGTAAACATGATTAGTTAATGTTATTGAATGGAATATTATTGATAACAATACCAGAAAATACCAAGTAAACATGTTTTACAAGCAGAACTTCAGTATGATTTGCCAATTATAGTCACTCGAGTACAAAAATCCAAAGTTAAGTGGGAAAGTATTTTAAGATAAATTCAATTCAATTCAGCTTTATTTGTACAGCACTTTTACAATGTAGATTGTGTCAAAGCAGCTTCACATAAATGGTCATAGTAACTGGAACAAAGTAGTTCAGTTTTTAGTGTTTAAGTTCAGTTCAGTTTGGCTCAGTTCAGTGTGTCAGTCAGTTCAGTTTGTGTTTTAACGGCCTGATATAAAATAAATCAGGTTAAGTGAACAGTGATAAAATATTAATTCAGATGTACTCACCGATGACGTTCAGTTTTGTTCCTTGGCCGAAGACCACAGTAATTCATTTCTCACTTTCACTCGTACAAAAACCTCCTGCAGTTTCAGGGGCGAAAGACACAGAACTGAAACAATCACTGGAGCGCAGACCAGAACCCAGATCTCTCTTCATTTGTGGTTATTCTCTTCATTGCCTTATAGTTCATCTGTAGATTCACATCATTATTTGAGATCAGTGCTGAAAATGATCTGAAGTTTACACTGTTTATAGAGTCTTTTCATATAAAGGTGAACAGCTGAACTTCTCTGATAATATATTAGGCTATGATTAGCATAACGACTACACACACCAAACCAAAAACCATGAGTGATGAGTGAACCACCAACACCAACCCCAGAAATATGGAGAAAATAAAGCAAAACTAAAACTAAAAGTGCACTCAGGTTGTCAAGATAAGTTAAACCGAAAGGACAAGGAGAAACAATGTAGAAAATCTTTAATAAAATTAACAATAAATGGAAAAACTCTATTTTAGATCAACTTCAAATGTTTACTAATGTGTGTGGCAGATGTGTATACAATCATTATGTCTATGGAAAACCCAACTGGCCAGTTCAACACCACAATCATGTCTGTATTTCATATTGTCTAGAAGCAGAAGTGAATGTGAGCATTGAGGAGGTTTTTGTCATGATGTGAATCACTGTGATACATATTCATTAGCAGAGTGGTCCCATGTCTTACAGCAATACACTGCAGAATCACTCACAGCCACATTACTGATGATCAGACTATAATCTGATTTAGATGAATGTGTTGATGTGAATTTAGGAGCAGAGAAACCAGATCCATAGTCAGGTGATCTCATGGTATGATAAAATCTTAACACATACTGAGGAACTCCTGCTGGAGTCTGTTTGTACCATCTAGCTTCAGAACTTGTCACAGTCCCCAGATTACAGTCCAGTTGAGCAGTTTGTCCTTTACTGACTGTGATTACTGGACTCTGAGTCACTACAGTCACTCCACTGACACCTGCAGAACACAAACACACACACAGCATTAATGCCACACAACACACCCACATGACAGTCTGATGTGCCTCTGGATCTGCAGTCTAGTGGCGTCTCACATGATAGAGTGATGATGAGGAGGATGAAGAGCGTCAGCATGTTGTGAGTGTGTGTGTGATGTGAACAGACTGAAGAGGAGACTGATCAGAGAGCAGCTATAAGAGACTGAAGAGACGCTCGGTGACATCATCAGGCATCAGCAGCGCATCATCAGGAAGCAGCGCTGAATGATTGACAGGCGACAGATCGACAGAAGCTGATGAAGATGAAGTCTGACAGATGAAAAGAGCTCAGAGAAGCTGCTGATTTACATGGAGCTGATTAGAAGAGCAGGTGTTTCCTGTGCGTCCCCATGAAGAACATCTCCACACTTCACTGCGTCTGCTAGAAGACAAACTTCAGCATCAACTTCACAGCAGATCCACATGATGGCCGTCACATCTGGAGCATCTCCTCAGAGTTTCCATCAGAACTTTATTCAGACTCATTCATCTCCGCTGTGCTCTTCACTAATGATCTTCACTACACTGTAAGAAAAAAAAAAGTTCAAATGTTTACAGAAAAACACTGTTATTATACAGACTTTTCCTAAATTATTACGATCAAATCTGTTCAATAAAGTTACACACTAAGAGTTTTACAGAAAAACACTGTTATTTTACAGACTTTTCCTAGATTATTACGATCAAATTCGTTTAATAAAGTTACACAATAAGAGTTTTACAGAGAAACACTGTTATTATACAGACTTTCCAAATTTATTATGATCAAATCCGTTTAATAAAGTTACACAATAAGAGTTTTACAGAGAAACACTGTTATTATACAGACTTTTCCAAGATTATTATGATCAAACACCATCAATAAAGTGACTGCACTAAAAGTTCAAGAGAAAACAATGTTATTTCAAAGAATTTTCCCTAAATCATTACGATTAAACACTTTTAATAAAATGCCAAGACATGCTCATGATCGTAATTTAACAGTTTTATTTTAGATCAAAAAATTTTGGAAAAAACAACAAACGAGATAAAACTGATTAAAATTCTCACAACTTTAACATTACAGTTGTTAAATTTTATTGAATAGTGTTTATGTAAAACATGTAGAGGTTTAAGTTAAATGAGGTTTAAATGAAATGGAACTGTAACATGAAGAGGACGCTGAGAAAGGAGTGCAGATCCAAATGCAGGTTTATTACACAGAGATGGTCAGGCAAAAAACAGTCAACACAGGGGCAAACAGATGTAACATTATGCAGGGAATCCAGAGTCATGGTCAAATAACAGGCAAATGATCAGTCCCAGCATCAATTAATGTAAACAATTAACAAACAAAGTAAGGCAAAAGAAGAGAAACACGTAATAATGTTCACAGTAACAGTATAACAAGACTTAGTAATTGGTCTTTGCTGCTTTTAAAGTGCATGTAATCAGTTCATAACGATCCTCCGGCTGTGTGTGTGCAATCAGCGGAATCTGGAAAAGGTGCATGTGAGCGCTCTTAGTGTGTAACTTTATTCAACGGATTTGATCGTAATAATCTAGGAAAAGTCTGTAAAATAACAGTGTTTCTCTGTAAACATTTGAATGAAAATATCTGTAGATTTATTATTTTTTGCACTTTATTTCAACAAAGAAATTTTACCATCATTTTATGGTTTTTGTTCGGCAGCCGTAGCTGCCAGTCATTTGTCCTTTTTTTTTTTTACAGAGCAAGTAATTACAATTTATTACTTTAATTTTATGTAATTTTAAATGTACTTAAAAAACAGGAAAAACACTGTAAATAATACGGCAATTTTATTGTATAAAACAGACAAATTGTTGTAATTTGTCATTACTTATATAGTTCATAAAATAACAGTCAATCTGTTAATTTACAGATATTTGTTTTTGTAATTTTTACGGATTTTTTAATATAATTTAAAATAAAAGAAAAATACTGTATAAATAATACTGTAATTTCCCTGTATAAAAACAAAAATGTCAGTAATTTGTCTTTAATGATAAAGTACCTAAAATAAAAGTCAAACTGTGAATTTAGAGAGATTGTTTGTCATTTTACTAAGTTCTACATATAATTTTAAATGACAAAAAAATTACTGTAAAAAAATTTAGTGATATTTTCTGTAAAACTAGTTTTTTTTTACAGTGTAGCAGTGACAGCAGTTTAGTTTGATGTTTGACGCTCAGATGAACAGAGCTTTCTTTGATTTTCAGTCTGAAGACTCGATTTGAGTGTTTGCATCGTCATATTTTCATCCTTCATTCCCTCATTGATTGTCAAAGTCAGTCTTGACTTCATCTTGACAGCAGTTCATACAGTTTAAAGGTTCAATCTCTTCATTCCTCTGCACAATATGTAATGTAATGTGTGTTTATATGGCGCATTTGTTGTGTATGACCAAACACCCAAAGTACACATCTCCACACACCACCAGTGTGCAGCATTCACTTGGATGATGCGACGGCAGCCACAGGACAACGGCGCCAGTGCGCTCACCACACACCAGCTATTGGTGGAGTGGACAGACAGTGATAGAACCAATTCAGTGGATGGGGATGATGATCGTAAGGTCTGAGTGAGGAACTTTGGCCGGGGATTACACCCCTACTCTTTACTAGAGAGCCATGGGATTTTTAATAACCACAGAGAGTCAGGACCTCGCTTTAACATCTCATCCCAAAGACAGTAAGACAATAAACACAAAGACAAAGTTTGTTAAAGATGCAGTTTATTAAAACAGTTGTAAATCAGCTCACATCAACATTAAAGGTGAAAGATCATCAGCAGAAAATGAGGAGGCTTTATTTGAACACTCTCTATATTGATGAGCCACTCCAGCAAGAGATATGATCAGCTCTGATAACAGTAGAACAGCACATCCGCTTCTCCAGGTTCAGTCGCTGCATTCAGATTTCCTGATGCTTGCTCTGCTGGTTTTGGAGGCCACAGTGGCTTCACATGTCAGCTCTCTGTCTTTGTCCCACTCGGACCTCTGGATGGTTAAAGAACTGCTGCTCTTGAATTTGTGATCAGGCTGCTGTTCAGCAGAGCCGGTGAAGACGCCTTCGGTAACCGAGTTCCCGTTCACAAGCCAACGCACATCAGCGAAAGCCACAGACATGTGATTGATCAGACACAGCAGAGTGACTTTACTGGAGCTCAGCTCTTCTCTGGATGATGGACGGAGGATGGTGAGCACAGGAGGAGCAGCAGCAGCGTCTACAACACACACCAACATCAGCATCAGCACACACACACACTTGTACAGCTATCTTTACGGGGACTTTCTATAAATGTAATGATTTTTATACAGTACAAATTGTATATTTGATCCCCTAAACACAACCCTTACAGGAGACAGTTTTCAAAATACTTTATTCTGTGTGATTTTTGAGCCGTTAACCTCATTAATGTCCCCACAACATCAAAAATGACTAAACACCATGTCCTTATAAAACAAGCAGTAATATACTGTATCATACAAAAATAAGACTGCTAATCGTACTACAGGAGTAAGAATGACTAAATTCTGTACAGGAATATCAGCACAATCTGTGCATTATAATAATCCTTTTATTTACTTTGCTTGACGATGAAGCAATGACGGTGAAATAACGGCATATTTATATTTTGCAGACTCTTCTGCTTGACGCCAGTGAAAATCGCTTGGGCTTTAATCTGACAAAACATCTCGTAAAATGCTGACGATAAACGCAAACGAAAAGGGTTCCGGTGTTTACGAGCCTTTAGGCTTACATAAAAATTGGTGTTTTGGATTGAAGATAAGAGTTTGATCAAAGGTTTACGAGAACTGAAAGGCTGCAGTGCTTCACGTTTTCTTCATGAATTTCTGATTAAAAACTGGACAAAAGGTGGATTATATTACTTACTGGCGAAAATTGCGATCTAATTACAAAATATAATATAAGTGGGATGTATTTTGACGAATTTCTGACTTAATTAATTTTGCTTGGAGTTTTTTTGAGACACGGTGTAGCTGTGAGGACTCTTACGACATTTAAGAAACATTTATTAATTGCTTAAAAACTTAAAATATTTGTCATTTTAATACTGTATTTGCCTCTTTTTTAAATTAGATTTTAACCAACAAGTAATGAAATAAATACATACTTGATTTTTGTTTTAACATAAAGATTTACTTCTTTTAAGTTCAAATAAACATTATTTTATTGATTAATTAAATAAACTTGCGTTCAAAATAATTCTGAAAGTTTCTTAAAATCATAATATAAGAATGGTTTAATAATGATGATGATGAAAATAATAATAATAATAATAATAATAATAATAATAATAATAATAATAAAGCTCATTTAACACACAATAAGTAAATTTAAGGTTAAATCTGCAGTGATTTTTTTATTCGTTTAAAGGTTTTTCCAAGTAACCTGATGGAAAAAAACATGACTAACAAAGTAAATTGAATTAAAAAATAAAAGATAATCTACAATGACTTGACCAGCCCAGTCGAGTGATCACTGATATAAAACACATCCAGACAGAAAACTCTTGTAGTTGAGATGAAGATGAAGAGTAATACAGTAGAGCGATGACTTAAACACACACATGCTTGATTTTAGTTTACAACATAACTATTTAAAGTACAAATACACTTTTTAGGCTTTTAACTACAGATATACTAGACATTGTTGATTAACTGAATACACTTTTATACAAAATGATTTCTAAAGCTTCCTAAATCACAACATATTAACAGCTGAATATTAAATTAAAAATAATAAATAATAATAATAATATGACTAATAAAGCTCATTTAACAGTGTATTTCAGGGCAGTTGATGAGAAATAATTGTGACTGGCAAAGTAAACGGTCACTCTTTATTTTGATGGTCTTTGTGTTGCAATTAAGTTAGATTGCATCTGCATGCCAACTGATTCTCATTAGATTATAAGAAGACTTTTAGATCGGGGTTAGGGCTGGGGTTAAGAGTTATGGTTAGTGTAAGCTGATATGTACTTACAAAGTTTCTTATAGTCAGTTAAATGTCTGTTGAAGGAGCGTATCAACAGATATTAGGCAGATCTACTAATACTCAAATGGACCATAT